TTCTGTTTGGTCAGATCCATAGAGCATTGTATTATGCCAGAGAATGCAGAGTATGTTTGGTAATCATAATTCCAATTTGGGTGTTAGCTTCTTGGTGGCTGTTAGTTATAAATGCATTCAGAAAGAAGATCGACTTGCTAGTACTTACTCAAATTATTCATTCAGAACCATTAGAGAACTTAGAACTATGCAAGAATGCACAATGATGATTGAGAATGCTACTAATAAATTGGTCAGAGAATTATTAGAAAGAGTGAAGACCCTAATAAGCAACTCAATTTATGATGCATATAGAAAGCATTTAGAAAAGACTTGAGATGTCTTTGAGAATTTTGCAGTAAAAATAGGCTTTGTGCCATACCCAGCTATAGGAATATTATTGGTAGTTTTTTTGGCATGATTAGAATCTTTGGGTAGGTCTACAGAAGTTCTTATGTGTTTGGCAGCAGTAGCAAAGGAACATAAAAAAAGAAACCTAAATGATCCAACAAAGAAGAAAGCAATTCAGTTAGTTGTTGAAGGTATAAAAAGGTTAACAGTACAGAAAAAAACAGTAACCAGATGGTTGAGGGATCTGTTGTCAGTAGCAGCTGTAAGACAGTACATTAAGTATCTTCTATCAGAAATTAGCATGATAATGTGGGTCCAAAATATAGCACTGATAGTGTTAGATTTGAGAGTTATGCAAAAACCAGGCGAATTGTGTAATTTAAGGTATTCTGATGTTATAGAAAAGGATAGAAAATTGTGGATTAGAGTTTCAAGGTCAAAGACAGACTAGCTAAGTAAGAGTAAGTTTATTCCAATAGAAAGAACAATGAGTGAAATGTGTTCAGTTAGGTTGTTAGGTTGGTACTTGAAGATGAGATCTAAGATGAAACCAAAGTAACTATTATTTTTATTAAGAACAAAAGGAAAGTTGTCTGTAGCAGCAATATCAGTAATTGTAAGATAATTTGCAGAAAATGCAAGATTGGAAGGAAGGTATTCTGCACACAGCTTGAGGATTGAGGTGCAACAGTAGCAATAAAAGATGGCATAACAATAGAACAAATTTAATCAATTAGAGAATAGACATCAGAAGCAGTACAACAGTACATGCAGGCCATTAGTACAATGGAATTAGGGGCATTACATTTAATGAGTTTGTAAAAAAAAAAAAAAAAGAAGAAGAATGACCAAGCCTCTTATGCACAAATAGCAATACTCTATAAGAACTCATAAGTTATTTTTTATTAAATTATTGTATTATTGTTAGAACACCTTCTTGATGAGAGACAAAATTAGCTGCCCAATATATAAGTATTGGAGCCCATTTTGTCTTGAATCAAACATAGAATGAAATTAATTTATCAAGTTTGATATTATAATTAATAGCACAATGTGTGTCATAGTTTAAGGAAATATTAACATTAGTTTGACTGATAATAATAGGGTCTATCATTAAGGTTACATATTTATGAAGTATGTTTGTTGAATTTATTGATTTAATTATATAGTTAAATAGTCTTTCGATCTGGTAATCATTAGAGTTAATTACAGTAATAATGTAATTATGTCATTAAAGTTGTTAGAGTAATAATATAATTATATAGTGTTTTTGATTAGTTTTTGATCAGGTTTGATTAGTAATCATTAGGGCATATTTAAAAGGGAATAGAGTTTTTTCAGACAAGATAATTTCTGTTTTTTTCTGTTAATCCAACTTTGTCTGGTTTTTTCATCCTGTTCTTCTCCATCCTCATAGATGCCAATAGAACTGTGAATAAGCTATGAGTAAGCTGTTTTTGAATTCTGTTTTTAGTATGAATTTGGCCTGTCAGATGACAGCCAAATTCATGTTTAGTAGGTGGCCTGTCAGATAGCAGTCACAGAAATTAGTTGTTTTCTGTTTACAGTGAGTTTAGATTTGGCCTGTCAGATAATAGTCAAATCAAATGTAAGTGGCACTATTGGGATGGTAGTCACAGAGAAATGTGCATGCAAATTAACATTGTGCATAATGACATAGTTATTTGCATCTATGTGTGCTTTTATTGATATTTTACTTGCACTTTTGCACTTATTTGCACTAAGTTACACATTAACAATACTCTTAAATTCTGTATTGATCTAAGAAGATTTGCACAAAGCAGCAGAGACAGAATACCCATAAGTTATTTTTCATTGTATTATTGTATTATTGTTAGAATACCTTCTTGATGAGAGACAAAAAATCAATATTAAGGTTCAATGACACGGCAACTAGATTTAATTAATCCTGTGTAGGATACAAATTCTACATGGATCTGCACATTATGCACAGGATTTTTTGAAAAACCACGATTTGCCTATCTCTATTAATTACCTACCTAATATGGGCTTCCTGGAATTATTGCTCTTAAAAATCCTATAGAATCTTTAGCAATTATAAGGATAATAGTAATAATAAGAGTTTTAAGGAAGAACTATAAATAAAGGAATATATAATATAATAGGGATTTAAGTAATACAGAACATTAAGAATATATCTGTTAAATAATAAGTTTAGTATGTTTAATAACTGTAGAAGCATATATGTAATATAATAATATATAATAAAGGTTTCATATCCTATCTGAGCAGTAGTTTTTTTATATTTGCAATACATTTTGACCTAAATATTTTATTGCTTTTGTAACAATATATTCTAAAACCTATAATTATAAACACACTATTCTCCAAATCTAACCACCTCTTATTGACTAAGCTGTTTATAGGTTACACAACATATTCTATCAACAAGTGACTGACTTGCTGTTTTACCTATATCATTAGTTATATGAAAAGTAAGATTTATTTACTTTTATTACTTTTGTTATATTTATTATATTTATTACTTTGGATAGATCGATGGTATATAGTATATTTGGTTTGTCATTATTATAGTAGAAAAAAAGGTTTTAAGGATAATATAGTGTAAATAGAAAATGTAGAAGAAATTAACCTCAAATGTAAATAAAGATTAATTATAAATAAAAGACCTTCTGCCTAGTAGGAAAGCAATCATAATACTCCCAAGTCAATACATTTTTGTAATATATAAAAATATATTCATAACCTATATTAAAAGTAAACTATAACCTAGCGCAAACTAATAAACTATCATTAAAACCATCATTATCCATATCGTTTGCTTCTTTGTAAATCACTAAACTGATTTTAAATTATTTGTTATAAGTTACATGGCTAAGTCATTAATGCAAGAGAACTCCAACCTGATTTAACATATTGTAACCTCAGGTTAAGAAAGTAAAAAAAAGATAAGAGAAGGCAAGGGTTAAAAGAAGAATAAGTTAAAAGAAGGACTTAGAAGAGAAGAATAGTACTTATCTACAGATAAACCACTTAGTCAAATCTAATACACCTATTTCAACTTAGCCACCATAGGTTACATAAAGACTGGAACAACAATGTCTATTGGTGGTGATGTGTAGTTGGTGTAACAAATTAATGACTATACCAATTACCTACCTAAAATGGGTTTTCAGCAGGCAATTCTTGAATGTGTGCTAGGTTTGTGATGTAACAAAAATTCAGTTATATTAGGGTTAGGGTCTGAGTTATGGATCAGAAAGAAGTAGTTTATGTAGTAAATTGTTCAATAAAAACTTTTTATTATGTAGAGCATCAAAGATGATTTCTTATGCTGATTTTGAGAAGTAAGTGATTTTTAATCATAGGCAGAAGTTAGTCTAATTGGCTAATAAATTCAATTTGATTTTACATTATTTATACAGTTTAGATTGCTTTTTAAAAAAAATGAAAACCAACTATAATAAAGTAAAAAAAACTATATAGAAGGTTTCATTAGAGCTGTAGAACTCCATAGCAAATAATAAGATCTAATACTCATCCGTTTAAAAAAGTTAGTATAGTACAAGTCACTCGCATTATAGTGAACTCTTGATATAGTAAAGACTAATTAAAATCTCGATATAGTGAAGTTAAGCTCAAAGCCAGTCTATATAAAATTCTCTTGATATAGTGAATTTACTAATAAAGCTCTCGATAAAGTGAATTTTTTTAAAAAATTTATTAATAAAACAGATCACTTCACTATAACGAGAGTGACTTGTAATAACTTCTCAAAACCCGATAAACTCAACTTATTACTAAGCTAATTTTTTTAGATGGATGAGAATTAGGTCTTATTTTTGACTATGGAGTCCTACAGCTCTAATGAAACCTTCTATATGGTTTTTTTTTACTTTATTATAGTTGGTTTTCGTTTTTTTTAAAAAGTACTCTAAACTGTATAAATAATGTAAAATTAAATTGAATTTATTAGCCAATCAGACGAACTTCTGCCTATGAGATTTTTGACAAAAAAAACGTTTGATTTGAATGTTCCTGATCGTGTTACGTTATGCCTGATCTTGAAATCTGATTCGTAGTTCAGGAAATCTGCGCCACAAACCTGGCACACATTCAATAATTGCTTCCGGCAGTATACGTGAAACGTGATCCCGGAAGCACGTGGCAGGGGATGATCGATGTGGCGCAGTAACGCAATTAACGGCTAGGTTGATCATCTACCTAATATGGGCTTCCCGGGATTATCGCTCCTAAAAGTCGTATAGGGATACAAAGGCAATAGTGACAATAAGGGTTTTTAAGAGGAAACTGTAATTAATGGGATATACGGGAGTTAAGGGTTTTAAGTAATAAGGGACGTTAAAGGGATATAAGGGGGATAGTACGTTTAATAGGATTAATACATTTATTACATTAAAGAATGCATATGTGATATAACAATATATAATAAAGGCTTCGAGTCCTAAAAGAACAATTTTCAGTTTTGCGCGTATCATAAATTTCGCCCCTATAATAATTCTCTATTTCATTGTATTATAAACCTACGATCATAAACACACCACTCCCCAAATCTAACCGCCTCTTATCGACTAAGCCGTTCGTAGGTTGCACGACATATCCCATCGACAAGCGACTGACTCGCCGTTTCGCTCGTGTCAGTAGAGATGAGTGAATCTATATATCCTGTAAGGTCACTCTCATTGTAGCATTGTTAGGTTCCCTGTGCTGTGATTTTCTTAATTTATCGATCCGATCATCTGGAATTTCACCGGTAGTATCCTGATTCAGCGATTCACAAGTCGTAATAATACGTCAAGCGATCGTGGCTGAACTTCAATTGTGATCCTGGCACGGCTTTCATCTCCCCTTTAGACTCGAACCGGCGACCTTGCGATTAGGGGCCCGGGAACGCAGCCACACGCTATCGACCTACGGGTCTTTGTGCATCAGATTAAAATTCAAACACTGAGTTTCATTAGGGTTAGTGCGAAAAACTTAAGATAAGGATTATATTTTCGGCTATGATACGCATTTATGTTTTATACAATTACTAGTGTACAAATAGAAATTTTCTTAGAAAATTATTACCTATGGTGACGTATCATCACCTTCCAATAAATCAAAATACAGCTATTTTAGGAACAATTTACGATTGATTAAGGTTCGGATAAATGATAGTCAAATACTTCACAACGAATTCTTCTTTTTTTTGCTAAACCCGATTTTTTAGAAAATTCATAATACACCTGATACTGCACCCTGATTGGTTCAATAACACTCAATATACATACGCATTGGTTATGATTGAATTATACTTAACAATTTAATAATAAATTAGTAAACAAAGATTAGATTATTATTACACTCTTTCATTTGGTATATATAATTTTAGACGTATTTAAGTAAATAAATATAACGATTTGTTAAATCAATTTGCATATAATTTGAAGTTCTATAAAATTATCTAAATATAAAAGAAAATTTGGTATTTTGCTATGATATAATTGTCTATTTAGGAAAAATAATATTCAACCTAATTTTATAAGACATTAAGGTATCTCAATAAATAGAATCGACTACGTAGTGGTAAATGTGACTAGAGATGATAACCGTAAGCATAATTAAGGATAACAAATAATTGAGTAATCAGTCAGTAATTTTGGATCATTCAAATAAATGTCCATCTTCAATCGCAGTTGGTTTTTTAAGCCCAATTAGTAAAAATATAGCTCTATGATTATTAACACTTGTTAAAAATAGTTAATTTTTTTTAATTCCTTATATGCTTTTTGATTACCATTATGGTTTGCTTTTTGAAACCATTCAATAGCTTTTTGCGTATCTAATAATACGCCATTACCCTTTTGATAGCATAAAGCCACAACATATTGCGCATTAGAATCTTCCCCTTCAGCTGATTTTAAATACCATCCAAATGATTTCTTTTCATCTTTATCAGTTCCAAATCCATTGCGATAGCACCATCCAATTTTATTTTGCCCACTTGGATTTCCTCCTTCTGCAGATTTTAAGTACCATTCAAACGCCTGTTTTTCGTCTTTAATAGTCCCAAAACCATTTTGATAACACCATCCAAGATTATACTGACCTCCCGAATTACCACCTAGTGCAGATTTCATATACCATTCAAATGCCTTAGTTTCATTTTTAGTAGTCCCAATTTCATTTTGATAGCACCATCCAAGTTTATTTTGTCCATTAGAATTTCCTCCTTCGGCACATTTTAAATACCAATTAAATGCTTCTTCTCTATTTTTATTGGTTCCAAAGCCATTCTGATAGCACCATCCAAGGTTATACTGTCCACGAGAATTCCCTCCAATTGCGGATTTCAGGTACCATTCAAATGCTTTCTTTTCATCTTTAGTTGTTCCAGAACCATTCTGATAACACCAGCCAAGATTGCATTGGCCGCTAGAATTTCCTCCTTCCGCCGATTTTAAATACCATTCATATGCTTTCCTTTCATCGCTAATTGTTCCCAATCCGTTATCATAGCATAACCCGACACTATATTGTGCGTTAATATTGCCATTTTCTGCTGATTTCAAATACCATTCAAACGCTTTCTTCTCATTTTTATCACTACCAAAACCATTATCATAACATAATCCAAGGCTATACTGTCCATTTGAGTTTCCTCCTTCAGCAGACTTTAAGTACCATTCAGATGCTTTTTTCTCATCTTTAGTAGTTCCAAAACCATTTTGATAACACCATCCAAGATTGTTTTGTCCATCGGAATTTCCATATTCAGCAGATTTTAAATACCACTCAAATGCTTTTTCTTCGTCTTTAATAATTCCAAAACCATTTTGATAACACCATCCAAGATTGTTTTGTCCATCAGAATTTCCACTTTCTGCAGATTTTAAATATAATAAAAATGCCTGTTTTTCATTTTTATCAGTGCCGAAACCATGTTGATAACACCAACCAAGACTGTTTTGCCCATTGGAATTTCCTCCCTCGGCAGATTTAAGGTACCATATAAATGCTCTTTGTTCATCTTTAGTAGTTCCTAAACCATTTTGATAACACCATCCAAGATTATATTGCCCAATAGAGTTTCCACCTTCAGCTGATTTTAAGTACCATACAAATGCTTTCATTTCATCCTTAGGTGTTCCAAAACCGTTTTGATAGCACCATCCAAGTTTATTTTGTCCTTGAGGATTCCCATTTCTTGCAGATTTTAAGTACAAATCAAGTGCTTTCTTTTCATTCTTAGAAGTTCCTAAACCATTCTGATAGCATTGCCCAAGACTACATTGACCGTTAGAATTCCCATTTTCTGAAGATTTTAGATACCATTCAACTGCTTTTCTTTCATCCTTAATAGTTCCAAAACCATTATCATAGCATAGACCAAGTCTGTACTGCCCATGAGAGTTTCCACCTTCAGCAGATTTTAAATACCACTCAAATGCTTTCTTTTCATCTTTATCGGTCCCAATACCATTATCATAGCATAGCCCGAGATTATATTGTGCACTAGGATTCTTGTCTTCCGCTGATTTTAAATACCATTCAAATGCTTTCTTCTCGTCTCTGAGAGTTTCGGGTCCATTTTGATAGTACCATCCGAGACTCTTTTGCCCATCAGAATTTCCACCTTCAGCAGATTTTAAGTACCATTCAAATGCTTGTCTTTTATCTTTAATAGTTCCAATACCATCGTCGTAACATAATGCAACATTATACTGTCCGTTGGAATTTCCGCCTTCTGCAGATTTTAAAAACCATTTAAATGCTTTATTTTCATCCTTAATAGTTCCAGCTCCATTTTTAAAGCACCAACCAATCTTAAATTGTCCTGCAGGATTTCCACTCTCTGCAGACTTTAAGTACCATTTAAATGCTTTTCTTTCATCTTTAGCAGTACCAATTCCATTTTGATAACATACTCCAACGTTATACTGTCCACCAGAATTTCCTCCTTCGGCAGACTTTAAGTACCATTCGAATGCTTTCTTATCATCTTTATCAGTTCCAAAACCATATTGATAACAACTTCCAAGATTGCATTGTCCGTTAGAATTTCCACCCTCAGCAGATTTTAGGTAACATTCAAATGCTTTTGCTTTATCTTTTGCAGTTCCAAATCCATTTTGGTAACACCATCCAAGATGGTATAGAGCAACAACGTTTCCGATTTCAGAAGTTTTTGAATACCAAAAAAATGCTTCCTTTTCGTTTTTAGCAGTCCCAAAACCATTCTGATAGCACCATCCAAGTCTATTTTGTCCGTTAACATTCCCATTTTCTGCAGACTTTAAATACCATTCAAATGCTTCTTTTTCATCTTTAGTTGTTCCGGAACCATTTTCATAGCATCTTCCAATATTAAACTGTCCATCAGAATTTTCATCTTCAGCAGATTTTAGGTACCATTCAAATGCACTCTTTTCATCTCTAGTAGTTCCAAAACCATTTTGATAGCACCACCCAATATTATTTTGACCATTAGAATTCCCATCCATTGCGGATTTTAAATACCACTCAAATGCTTTCTTTTCATCTATAGCAGTTCCAAAACCATTTTGATAACACCATCCTAAGTTATATTTAGCAACGATGCTTCCATTTTCAGCAGATTTCGAATACCATGTAAAGGTTTTCTTCTTGTTTTTAGTAGTTCCAAACCCATTTTGGTAACACCAGCCGAGTTTATTTTGACCGTGAGGATTTCCTCCCTCGGCAGATTTTAAGTACCATTCGTACGCTTTTTTTTCATCTTTAGCGGTTCCAATGCCAAGCTGATAACACATTCCAAGTTTATTTTGTCCGACATTATTTTTATTTTCAGCAGATTTTTTATACCATTCAAATGCTTTAATATCATCTTTAGAAGTTCCAAAAGCAGTTTGATAGCATAGTCCAACATTATATTGTCCGTTAGAATGTCCACCTTCTGCGGATTTTAAATACCAATTAAATGCCTTTATTTTATCTTGTTCAGTTCCAAATCCATTTCGATAACACCATCCAAGATTACATTGTGCGTCAGTACATCCATTTTTTGCAGATTTTAAGTACCATTCAAATGCTTCTTTTTCATCTTTATTAGTCCCAAACCCATTTTGGTAGCATAATCCAACGTTATATTGTCCGCTATGATTTCCGTTTTCAGCTGATTTTAAATACCATTCGAATGCTTTCTTTTCATCTTTGGTAGTTCCAAAACCATTTTGATAACACCACCCGAGTTTATATTGCCCAAAAGAATTTTCACTTTCAGCAGCTCTTGAATACCATTCAAAAGCACATACTTCATCCTTAATAGTTCCAAAACCATTTTGATAGCACCAGCCAAGGTTACATTGTCCTCCAGAATTTTCACCTTCAGCAGCCTTCAAATACCATTCAAATGCTTTTTGTTCATTTTTGGCAACACCAGTACCATTGCGATAGCACCATCCGAGATTATTTTGTCCGCCAAAATTACCATTTTCGGCAGATTTTAAGTACCATTCAAACGCTTTCTTTTTATCTCTAAAAGTTCCAGCACCATTTTGATAACACCATCCTGCGGTATATTGCCCGTCAGAATTTCCATTTTCGGCAGATTTCAAATACCATTCAAATGCTTTTTTTTCGTTCTTAGCAGTTCCAATCCCATTATCATAACAAAGTCCAAGATTATATTGAGCATTATTATTACCATTTTCAGCAGATTTTAAATACCATTTAAATGCTTTATTTTCATCTTTATCAGTTCCAAAACCATTTTGATAACAATGTCCAATATTATATTGTCCAATAGAATTTCCATTTTCTGAAGATTTTAAATACCATTCGAAAGCTTTTGAAAAATTTTTCGTAACGCCGTAACCATTAAAATAACATTCACCAATATTATATTGACCGATACCATAATTTTTTTCAGCCACTTCAGAAAATAATTGAAAAGCTTTATTCTCATCTTTTTCTATTCCGATACCGTTCAAATAAGCTATAGCTAGAGAAATCTTACAAATAATCCAATTATTTTTGATAAGATCCTTAACTAAAGTTACAACACCTTTGGTATTGGACTGAGCGTTATCAAAAGTATCCTTAAGTTCTGTCACTTTTGCATACATTTCAATCGCTTTTTTATGATTAATCGTAGTTCCAATTCCGTATTGAAAAAAAAATCCAATAATACCAGTAAAATATAAATGATGTTTGTGATCAATTAAATGGTTAAGAATATTTGCCGGGTTTTTGTTATTATTTTGAAAATATTTAATTAAGTTAGGCCTTATTGAATTATGTTGTTCGTATGTATCAAAATTCTTAAAAAAATATTGAAATAAATCCAAAATGAATTTAAAAGATGATAATTTATCTGAAGCTGATTCATGAGAATTGTTGGAGATTTTTTCTAAATTACCGAATTGTGACGAGGATGATATATTTGCGGAGTTCTCATAAAGTTTGTCGGAAACATTAGATGCTGTTAACTCTCCTATAGTATTTTGAATTTTATCTATAATTAATTTTGATTGATTAACGCTCGTCATTATTAATGAATTTGAAAAAGAGTTCCGCGCGTTATCTGATTGTTTTAATGTCTTTAAAAATGTTCCAAGCAGATCTAATTCTTTAGCCTTATTGTCGTACTGATCTTGATAAGCTTGTATTAAATCCTGTATACCTTTACTATCGACTTTTAATTTAATTTTCTTCTCATTTTGCACTTTCTTAACAGATAAATCTGGTGATATATTCTCCGTTTGAATGGTATCAGATAAGTTAACATCTTGAAGACTTTGGAAAATTTGATTTATGTTTGGGCGGTGTTTTGATTTAAACTGCCAACAATCTAAGGATTATTCATAAAAAAAAAAAATTATTTAATTGACATACGTTTTAAATTCAATAATTTAAAATTTTTTTAACTTTAATAATAACCTGTATATATTTTAACAAATGCACGTGGTGTGCCATCAACTACTGTTTCACGTTTTCCTTGTATAATAGAATTTAAAAGATTAAGATCTGATAACGTCTCGGATTCAAATGGAATCATTCCACTAGAAAGTTCCCAAAACAAAACTCCAAGACTATAAATGTCTGAACGTTTTGTAAGTTTAAAAGTTTTAATATTTTGCAAGTACTCTGGATCAGAATATTGAATTGAAGTAAGTAAAGATGCGAGTGAATTGGATTTTGTTGTATATTCGGAGATTCTAAATGCACTTAATTTAATATCACCATTATAAACTAAAATATTTTCAGAATGCTGAACAAGTTACAAGATAGTAAATTATTTAAATTAATATGATAATCAAAATAAGAGACATTTCAGAAATACATACCATGTTTCCGTGAACTATGTTATTTGAATGCAAATGCATTACAGCACTTGTCAACTGCTTTGCCAAACGAAACTTAACATTCCAATTTAACGTATTAAAGTTATTTTTTAAATAGTTTCGTAGAGTTCCATTGTCGGCATATTCGAAGACCAGCATGTACTTGTCTGAGAATGATGATTCAGCAATCATTTAATTAAAAAAAAAAAAGAACCAAAACCTTGTAGACAAAATAATTAATAATATACCTTGTGTTGTTAAGCCAAATAATTTTAAAATATTATCATGATTATCTATTTTTTGATATTTTTGAACCTGCAATTAATAGATTATTGTTATATAGATTATAGCTATATTTCTGTATATTTTTTTTCAACCTTAAGAGTAATTTGCTTACATCATTAATAAGTTCTCTTAAAGAATAATTCTGAGATTGTGATATTTCTTTTAATACCACATTTTTTTGATAAGTTATAGAAAATGCTTTTCGAATAACTCCTCGTGATCCATTTCCAATAACTTCAAAATTTTCGAACTTATCATATTGATGAAAAATTTCACTATTTTGGGAGATCTCTTTAATATTAATCGATCCATCCATCCACTCCTCAAATCCGATTTCAGATATCATAAGTTTTGTAGCCATTTGAAACACTAATATTCTACAGTTATGGCCACACTTAATTTAAGGACTGAAGTAATGTTGTTGACCGCATTAATATGAATTTCTACCTAAATATTTTGTTGATCTTTTGCCTGTGAGACTTGATTGTCAAACAAAACTTCTGAACAAGGAAGCTCGAAACATGATCACGAGCTTTACTATTCGATCCAAAAATTTAGACCATTTACATATTGCATTTTTGACTAACCATTTTGTAACATATAATTAATTATGCACCATACGGTGCTCAGTATTCATGCAAAAATTAATAAATTATATATATGCACACTAAGTACAACCTACACATGCTAACCAGAAATTTATAATGTTCCGAGTCAAATAATAATTCGCTGTCACATTTAGTGCACCCACCATTTTCAACCTGTCATTGGCCACTATACATACGTACGTACTAGTTAGTACGTACTAGTTAGTGTGTACATACGTACGTACTAGTTAGTTGTACGTACGTATTATAGTTAACTGTTAATAATGTAGCATTCTTCAGTGGGATCTACTCTATATTAGTTCCTGTGATACGTACAAGTTCATAAAGGGGAAACCTAAAATAAACTAGGCAAACAAGACATGCCATCATCTATCGTTACATCTGTACGCAATATGACATCTATAGTTGAAACGATCGGCCTTCTTCAGTTCCGAACTTATAGCCAGTGTTGGAATGTAAATTGTTGTCCCGTTCTAAGTCACGGGTTTTTCTTATTTTTATTTCTTTTTATTTATTTATTATTATTAATTTAGTTATACCAGTATATAGTTATTTATTTGTAATTCGTCCTACTCATGCCCTTGTTTACGTTTAAGAACAGTGGTAGCTAAGTATATAAACATTAAGATGAGCAGTTGGGGCTAACGCTAAGGCGTATATTCGAATAAGCCATAGATTAGTAATATGAACAGTATGGCTTCGTGTTACCTTAGGATGGTTTAATCACAGACGAAGCAACTGTTCAAGAAGTAGTAAGCGACTGCTCATAAAGACATCAGCGCCTTTATCATATAATTACTTAGTATTGCCTTCGCGAATAAAATTGTATAAATATAAGTCCTTTCCGCCTTTCCAAAAGGACCAGTTATTAATGAAGTTAATGATAAAGTCCTAAAGAAAATAAAACACTATACCATCTCTAAAAGCTCCAAACAGATTAATTTACCTTAACTTCGCTTAATTAGTACCATTCCTTATTATGCTAAATTGTCTTTGCATATAAATATATGCTGGGCCTCTTATTTAACATAAAGGAAGAAAGCACTGAGGCCGAATAGACCTTTTCCTGAATAAATAGGGGCCGTGTATTATATAGTTATGTAGTTCCTATAGTGTAATACACTTACAAAGGACCGCATAGAGGAATATTAATTAGATCAATCAGTTACTTGGTGATTAAATTGATTATTTATTTCGCCCATTTAATTAGATTACTCTTAAATCAATCCCGATTACCCTTAAACTACCACCCCTTCTGATCAACTATCATCGACCTGACCATAAATCGTATATAGAATCCTACCGATATTACTTCTCCTAATAGTAATTAGATTATTATACCCAGCGCTACATTAACTATTGGAACTAAACTGCGCAATGTTATTCGCTTTTCCGATTTACAATACTACATTCTTAAACTTGCCTATGTAGTTTCATTAATTTGAAAAGTCTCATTAATAAGTTTTATTTTCTAAAAATTTAAACAAATTAAATAAGTTTTAAAATAAATTTATATATATTTAAAAAATATTTAATTTGGAACAATTTGTCAATGTTAATATTTGATACAGAAGTATAATAATTAAATAAATTTTTATTTAAGACAAGTTATTTAGTTTGTATATATAAAAGATTTTTAATATTAATAATACTATTGGTCATCTCATTAAGCATGATACACCAACTTGATACATTTGAATTAAAATATAATTACACAAAATTTTTTTATATATTAACTTGCTATTAAATAAATATATTTAATATTTGAAGATTTATAGAATATATTTATCAAAAAAAATTAAATTAATTTTTGATTAAATATTATTTAAAAAAATCTCAAAGTTGGTCAATTTTTTAAAAAAAAATTAAAAAATTGAAATTTTTTTTGATATATTTCTAAATTAACCAATTATAATTAAATATATTTTTGTGCTATTATGCAAGTACCTTAGTGTAACCTTTATGCATAAACTTGCAAAATTTCAACTATGATTATTATATAAAAAATAAGTTATAATAAAAAGAAAATTACCTATTTAAATTAGTTTACTATATAAAAAAAATTACTATGTTTTACTACTGGTAATTATTATCAGTGATTTACAATATTTAAATTTAAATTTTTATCAAACCAAAATTTGATTTTTTTAATATTTAGGATAAGATTTAAAAGCTTAAGTTAGAAGAAAAAAATGATTATATTCAGAATTTCATAGAGAATTTTTTTATTAGAACCCCAAAGTAGCTTTGTTAGTAAAATTTTATTTTATATTATACACTAGTGATGATCACCAGTGGTGATAAATAGCAAATCAATATAAAAAATTAGTAATTTTATATAATAAAATTAATAATATTTATATATAAAAAAGTTAGTAATTATAAAATTTTTTTAAAATTTAAAAATTTTATTTATATTTATATATATAAAATAAACTTCTTAATATATATTTTATATTTATATTATTTAAAAATATATTAATTATTAATTTTATAAACTTGTTATATAAGTATATTTTATATAAAAAATCACTATATTTTTTATATTTATAAGTACTTATTTATAAATTATTCTGATAAAATTTTTTTAAATTTTAAAAAAATTTTATCTTATATGTAAAATAATATAAAGATCATTTTTACTTAATAGACAAAATATGGTTTGCATAATAAAAAAAAAGATATAAATTAAAAACTAAAAAATTTAAATATTTTTTATAAATTTGTAAATTAATAAAAAAAAATATTTAATTATTATTTTTTTTTTATTTTTTATTTTTTTACCTTTGGCAGCCATGATGGTTAACCAGTCAGAAGTTTATTTATAAATGTTTGGTATAGACAATATACAAATAGAACTATATCTAACTCTACATGCCATCATCACATAGTTACCCAATTAGTACCTATGAGCAACCTGCTGTACTAGATCTGCTAAAGTCTAAATTGAGCTCATCTGTCTGTCACCCTACAATTGAACAGCACCAATCTGATACCATTTGTTCGTAGAGAGGTAAAAAACCAAAAAAAATTTCTTGTTGAGAGGGAATGCATTAAAAAAAATGTATATAGGAGAAAAACGTGAAAAAACAAATATCAAGAAATAAAAGAAAAGGGAATTGCTGATGAAGGCCAAACAAACGGTTACTAATTATAAAGGCTGTATTTGTCTATTAAAAATTATATATTACTAAATACAATAATCTCTACTTTAACTCTATTTAATTAATATATTTAATACTAAAGCTTATATCCTAAGGGAAACAATTCAACTAAAACTGAACTGGCAGAGAATTTTCTATGTGCTAGACTCACCAACTTCTTGTCACTAAATCCATCTTCATGTATAACTCATCATACTTTTTATCAGATCTTACATTTCGACATTTGTCACATTTCTGACCAATCATCTTATCTATTACCAAAAATCTCCAATCTCGTCTCATTGTTGTATTTTTCCAAGACATGTATACTCATGCTTTATCTGCAACATAGGCCTATTCCAAATAGAATTGATAAACAATCCCAATTTAGAAGGATCAACAATGCTGATTTCAATAGAGGTAAGCTGGATTGACCACTTTTTGATAAAAATTTCTTGAAAAAAAGTGAAAAAGAAATTTTTCAAAGCACTAACTGTAATAAGCATAGGAGTTTACATTATATAGAATAGCATATTCAACCAAGCTTCTATCTTTGCTGTTGCTCAGATATAGCTTGACAAAAACTTCCTTGGTTGTAGCCAAAATTACTTTTTCAATAACTTCATAGACTTCTACTGAAGAGCCAAACCTACAAAGAGCTACCTTTTTTAACTCTTTTTCAAATGGCCTATATGCAATCTGAAACTCTTGAACCCAGATGCTATATGGCAAAGTTTTGTTATGTATAAACATACTAACTATATAATTT